GGAAACTGGCAATCTACATTCAACTATAGATTACGTACTCATGTCACACAAAATATATGGTAAGTTACAAGTAATGAAAATAGATGAAGAAGGTTCCAAAAGTCTTGGTAGTGATCACAAACGTATTAAGCTGAATTTTGCCAGAGAAGTAAATGCTGAAACTAGACAACATAATTCAAAGCAAACTTTCTGCAGCGACAAAGAGTTGGAAATAGTTGTTGAAAGAATAGAGGCAGCAGTTTCAGGGCAACGGCATACAGATTGGACCTATGAGAGCCTAACTAGGCTTTTTGCTCTAGAACTAGACAAAGTTAAGAGTAAACGAAAGGGGAAGCAAGGACATAGACCAAAAAGTTGGTGGGACAAAGAAGTGAAGCAAGCGATACAAAAACGTCAGGAAGCCTCTAGAGAACACAGGTATGCCAAGCGTAGTGGGGAGTCCGAAACGGAAGTAAAAAGAAAATGGGACAATTTTATAACATGTCGCCGAGAGGCATCCAGTTTGATCAATGCGAAAATTCAGAGAAAGGGTGAGGAATGGATGAGTAATGTAAGTAAGAAAGATAGAAACGCTGCCAAGAAGTTTTGGGAGCACTTGAACTCACTCGGTGAAACGACGCAAGCTAGACAGAGGTTCATACTCTCGCATCAGGGAGATCAATTAGAGGGAGATGATGCGATACAATATATAGGAGCAGTGATGGAGGAGAAATTTCGGGAACGGGTACATGTGGAAGATAGGAGAACCGAAGGAAGTAGCAGTCCAGTTTGTGACATCGCGGATTTTGGACAAAGAGAATGGGAAAAGGCGGAACGAAGAGTCCCTAGTGGCACGTCGACAGGCACAGATGGTATCCCTATTAAGCTGGTGAAGAATTTGGGTCCTAAATCTAAGGCAAAACTAAGGGAGGTAGTGAGTACCATGATAACAAAAGGAAATATTCCAGATGAATGGAGGCTTAGTAGGATGAGTATGATATATAAGGGAAAGGGAGATAAGGCTGATATTAGGAATTATCGTCCTATAACCGTGACACCGGTTATTTACAGGTTGGTAATGCAGATTATAAAGAACAGACTGGAGGAATGGGTAGATTGCGAGGGCATACTGGGCGAGTTACAGAACGGGTTTCGAAAACAAAGAAGGTTGGAGGACAACTTATTTTCTCTAACACAGTGTATAGAAATAGCGCAAAAAGAAAACAGACAGCTCTGGCTGGCATTTCTGGATATCAAGGGTGCCTATGACAATGTGAACCAAAGAAACCTGTGGGACATAATGGAGAACTTAAACCTAGATGAAGGACTAACAGCACTATTAAGGAACATTTACAAAGATAACAAGGTGATTATAACATGGGAAGGAAAGGCGACAGGGAAAATAGAGATAAGACGAGGCCTTAGGCAGGGGTGCCCGTTATCGCCTTTGCTGTTTATGTTGTATCTGAGAGGATTGGAGGATAGACTAGAGAAGAGTGGGCTTGGGTTCAACCTTTCTTACACTAAGCTAGGCCAAAAAATTCAGCAATCCTTACCGGGATTGATGTATGCGGATGATATTGTACTAATGGCTAACAACAGGACAGAGTTGCAGGAATTAATGAGCATCTGTGGTAGGGAAGGAGAGGAATTAGGTTTAGAATTCAGTAGCGAAAAATCGGCAGTCATGATTTTTAACGAGGATGAAGTTGAGAGGCTGAAGATACAGAATATTACAGTTGAGAGAGCTAGTAAATACAAGTATCTAGGAGTATGGATATGTGATGGTGCAGAATATCTCAGAGACCATGAAAAGTATATAATAGGTAAGGGCAACAGAAATGCAGCTGTAATGAAAAATAGAGCACTTTGGAATTACAACAGGTATGAGGTGGTGAGAGAGATTTGGAAAGGGGTCATGGTGCCTGGCTTGACTTTTGGAAACGCAGTGCTATGCATGAAATCCGAAGTGCATGCGAAACTAGAAATAAAACAGCGCGGAGTAGGTAGACTGGCTTTGGGGGCACATTGCAAAACGCCAAACCAGGGAGTACAAGGAGACATGGGATGGGCATCATTTGAGAGCAGGGAAGCGGTGAGCAAGGTAGAATTTGAGGATAGGTTGAGGCTAATGGACGGGGAGCAATGGGCACGAAAGGTTTTCAGGTATTTATACATGAGGAGTGTAGACACCAAGTGGAGACAGCGCACTAGGAAATTAAGAGGAAAGTTTTTGGGCTATAGCGAAGATACGGAAGAGCAAGTCTCAGTTAAGAAGAAAGTTAAGGCCACAGAAAGAGATCGGTGGCTAGAGGGAATGCAGACAAAGACGGCTCTGGAAAGCTATAGATTAAACAAAAGAGTTATTGCCAAAGAAAGCATTTATGACAATTCTAGGGGAAGCTCATTGCTGTTTGAGGCAAGAACGGGTGTTCTGCGAACCAGAACATACAGAGTGAAGTACCAGGAAATTGATACAGTGTGCACTGCTTGTGGAGAGGAGGACGAGACGGCTGAGCACTTGATACTCTACTGTAAAGGGCTTCACCCTATGCCTACCGAAGACAACATAGATTTAATAAAGTCATTGGGTTTTAGAGACAGCGAAGGGAGAGTGGATTTCAAGACTGTAGAGATTACCAAGCAAAGATTAAGTGAATGGTGGCAGAAATCGAGAGAAAACTAGGTATTTTCTTATTCACTGATGGCAAGGGGGTTTCATAGCCTCACTTTCTTTGCACTGCGGAGTGAATATAGATTTCACATTTAAATATTCTAAGCTTAAATGGTAAAACAAAATGGCTAGGTGGCGTAAGCTACCGCCCGATCCAAAGGGCTCAGCCGTATTCATCCATCCATCCAAACATGAGTTGGTGTATAGAAGATTAACCCGTCACTCAAAATTCGTACAAAAGCAGCCGCTTCGGTGTCTGGAACGACTAGGCCATCCTCTCGACGTCAGCCTCGCCGTAGCTTTGCTCGTCTTGAGACGACCTACGTCACGATTGCGTTGGATGTCACGTGCTCTAAGCTGGGCCTTCTCCGAGCGCTTGCCAGAGTGGGCCGTTTATAACGAAAAATACAGCCACCAGGATCAAAATACAAACGTGCGATTGTCATTTACGGATATTGTGGATCATATTCAACCTATTTTTGAACACGACGGGAATATTTGAAATTTCGTTGAAGTATCCCTTTAAGGGGATACTTGAACGAAATTTCGGCGCTAATGTTTTGGTCTATATGTGTTCAGAGGAGCAGTATAACATCGGACACACCACTATCTTGTTAAAAAAAGTCACGAAAAGGAATTTTAAAACGAATTAAACGATTAGCAAAGAGCACCTGGTGCATGTCGCTAACGCCTCGTTTGCAATGCTCGTCTAGGAACCTTGACAGCTAGTGACGGAGGTTGTCTCGCCTCCGGCCACGACGAAAGAAGAGGGGAAGGAGGAACTCCCCTTTTCCCGAGAATCCCCTTTGTGTGTCGCAGAAGTTGCTATTGTCCCCCTACAAGATTATAGAAGATTAACCCATCGCTCAAAATTCGTACAAAAGCAGCCGCTTCGGTGGTTGGAACGACTAGGCCATTCTCTCGACGTCAGCCTCGCCGTAGCTTTGCTCGTCCCGAGATGACCTACGTCACGACTGCGTTGGATGTCACGTGGTCTCCGCTGGGCCTTCTCCGAGCGCTTGCCAGAGTGGGCCGTTTATAACGAAAAATACAACCATCGGACTCAAAATACAAACGTACGTTTGTCATTTACGGATATTGTGGATCATATTCAACCTATTTTTGAACACGACGGGTGTGTTTCAAATTTCGTTGAAGTATCCCTTTAAAGCGCCGTTCACACTCTTCTTTAAGCCTCTTACGACGTCTTAGGACCAGCTACGTAGCATCGCATCCGGTCCTAAGACGTGGCAGTAGGCTTAAAAACCGGTCTTGTCTCTCTCGGTCGCTCTCGGTTACAAGTGTCTGAACGAGCCAAACCACACAGTCCAAAGATCTAGACCAGTGGTTCTCAAGCACCGATGTCTCGCGGACCCCTTGTGGATCGGCGGAGATGATGGAGGACCCCTTTGGTGGTGAGGGGAGAGGGAAGGTATAGGTTAAATATAATGATAATATAATAAATGGATTAAACTGAGGGCTAGTGTTAAGTATACTTTTTTGAGACTCACACGAGACAACTCACCCGAAAATTTAAAAAAATCCTTCTTGATCTGAAAAAAGACAACTTTTATTGTCGCGCTTGACTGATGAAGCAGGGCTTCGCGGACCCCCAGAATACTTTCGCGGACCCCCATTTGAGAACCACTGACCTAGACAATGCTAACACTTCGTAACTGCCTACTCGAATTGGCGACCTTGTAACAATCTACAACATTCCTTTAAAAAATTTCGTAGCCAAGTTTTGGAGAGATAAAAAAAAAAAAAAGATTTTACCCTGTTTTCTTTTTTTTCCAACTTTTTTTTTTTTTTTTTTTTTTTATTGTGTCTTTTTGTCGTGCGGTTTTATTGCTTCCGGTGATTGCTCTGTCTTCTTTTGTGTTTTCCTTTTCCTACCCCAGTCGCAGGTTTACCTAGGGTGCCTTCATGCGCGCACATGAAGGCTCCTTAGGTTTACCATCATGTTCAACTTACACCAGTTCGCCTGCACTCTGACTATTTTTTTGCGCAAGTTGTCTGCTTCTTGCACAGGGGTTGCGACGATGCCAGGACTCAGAAGGCCGAGATATTATTGGCTGATTGAAAAATATAGTGAGTAGACCTCAAGGCATCTAGCACTGAGGTCTACCCAATATCCTTTCAATCAAAGCCAATCAGAGCTCGACGTCGTTCTGACGTAACGCAACTCCTGCGCAAGAGGCAGACGGCTTGCTTTCCGCATTGGCTTGACACTCGCACGTCATGGTTTACCTAGATGGCGCGGTTCACCGCCTAATTCGAGAAAAGGAGTCGCCAAAGATCTCTCCATGCGACGACCAGTCCTCCACAGCGTCAATCGGTCAATCCATTTCTTCTTCAACCATCGTGATAAAAAAATGGCGGCGAGGTTTATGCTCGTTTCAGCGGTCCTCGTCGCCTTTTTGGCGATCGCTTTTGTTTACTTCGAGCCGATACCCGTGGAAAAGTATCCCAGCGCAGTACAGAAAGTTCACAACAAGTTACTAGAATCGGGGAGGTTTTTAAGCAGCCTGTTCTGCGGCACCAAGCGGATCACCGCTGAGGGCGTGTTCACCGCCGAGGAACTCCGCAAGTACGATGGTACCTCCGACGTGCACGGCCTCTATCTTGCGTTGTTGGGACGCATATACGACGTGCAGAAAGGCGCCGAACATTACCGGCCCGGAGGCGGCTATGCGCACTTTGCAGGCAAGTTGACTCTATGGAGGACGCGCTACGAGGAAATAAGATTGCAACCGGCATTTTTGTCGACACGTGTAACCTGCATATCTCTCTGTCCCCGTTCGTGATCGTTCGCAGGTCGCGATGCTTCGAGGGCCTACGTCACCGGTGACTTCTCGGAGGCGGGCCTCACAGACGATTTGCAGGGGCTTTCAGACGAATCGCTTCACACGTTCACGCAATGGGTTGATTTTTACGAAAAGGACTACAGATTCGTAGGTGAGTCACCTCCCAATCAAAAAAACGCTTGTCTCAGTGTGCAACTCTTTTTTTTTTTTTTTTTTGGTGGGGGAATTGTTTTTTTACGTCAAGTAACTTTGCAGAAAAAAGAAAAAAAACACATCGGGTGGTTAATTTTTTTTTTTCGTCCATCGTGCTCTATGCACTTTGCTTTGGCTCTGGGCGATGCCGCCTAGTCGGGCTGAAAGTTATTTCTTCGCAGTCCGAATGTTTATCATCAAGAATGAAGTGGCATAAATTGTAAGGAGACATGGAAGACGGGGGCCAGCGCTATGAGACCAAACGCTGTTCAACTTGAAAACGCCCTATGAGACGTAGCACTGCCTCAGGAGAAACTTAAAAAAAATGTAAAACGCGTCGACTTTTTTTTCCTTTTTTGACATTTTGCAGGTTTTTGAGCAACAGTTCATGTACGCTTTGGAGTTGAGGTTGGTGATAATGGCACTTGGATAGCCACATCAATCAACTTAGCTTCAAGATGATTACGGAAGTTTCAGTTTCAGTGTCTACTTTCGAATGCAGATTATAGGCACCCTACATCCGCTAGGAGCCGCTACCAATCCCCCAGCGAACAGCGCCGCGCGCGGCCACTTTTGAGTGAGTGTAGGAGATCGGCAGTGCTCCGCCGCCGCTCACGTTGCAGCTCCTGCACTTCCGCGAATGTGTCAGGCAGGGGACACATGAACAATGAACTGCTCCGCGGCGGCCGTTTTCATCGGTTTGGTTTGGGTTCGGTGCTGTGTGCGTCCCAAACACTCTCGGTAGAACATTCTAGTCGTCTATGAAGTTATTCAGACTCCCAGGAGTGATACGGAAGGTGTTGTGAAATCAGCATCTCAACTAGCAACAGGCTAGTCTTCACGAACAACGATGGTGCCGACAAGCGGTGGTATGACTGCGATCGAGATTGGTTTGGTGTTTGTGGTTTGAGCTCAAGGTGGGGAATCTGTTTGCCGAAATGTTAATGCGACAGCCGATGAAGGAGTTGACACGAGATATGTGTAAAGGATGTCGAGACGGTGCGCTTTGTACTGTGGAGACCTTCGGTGTCAATAGGTTTGTCGAGCGAGCCATTCAATGCCGCCGAGAGACTTAGAAATCTGTTGTGTGTTTCGGAATTTCGCTGCTGGGTTAGTATTTTTGACTGCATCGGTAAGTATTTACGCCCATGCATAATGTTTCTTTATGATGCTCGCGAATAACGCTTTGTCACTGCTCCTTTCAATGTCACGGTCATAAATGCCTGATAATTGCTGCCTTCGGTGTGACTTCTTTGGCATAGAGTCAATAAATCATCTCCGTGTTCTTTCGAACGAAAGCGCCAAGTTTTCATGAAAGCTGGTTGCGTCTCATACAAGTGATTTGCACTAGCCTTTTCTGTTCAATCTGGGCCCCTTCAGACCCACAAATGCGGCTTTCAGGGGTCCGCATACGTTCCTTGGTATATTTTTTTTTTCAGGACTGACACGTCATATGCCTACAGTTGTCTCAGCAAAGTTGGACACGTTGCATTTTAATTTCTAAATTAATGTATATACAGTCGTCACAATTATTCATTATAACGATTTCAATATTTTTTTTTTTTAAATATTTTATGTCGGCTTGATTAGGTAGAAAAGAAAAGCAAGCACTGTACAGCTAGTAATGTGAACATATGTTTTGCGGTTATGTTTTCTTCAACAATATTACTGTAATAGTAATATAACGGTAGCACAAGAATATTTGTGCTGGTCTTATTTCTTTTATTTTTAATCTAAATATTTTAATTTACTGTTTTGGGCATAAATAGTGCGTTTTAAAGCGAAGTACTGCCTGTCGTTCTACGATCGGTGCACCAGCAACTATTTGCGTCATGCGACAGGCTTTTGCAGTTGTGTTTTGGATACACAAATATTGCCAGGTAGTGCATCATGCAGAATGCCGCGCGGTACCCAGTTTCACCGCTCATGTGTAGCCCAAGCAGGTATGTTGACCCTGCAACACTCACCAGTGTACCACTGCAGTCGAGCTGCAACTGCTGAGGTTGCTTCCCGACGAGTATGCGCGCCGCCGCCATGAGAGGCGTACGTGTGGGCACTGAGTTAGTTCTGCAGGGTGCCTATAAACCAGTCATGAGGTGGTATGTTTTGACAGCCCAACACGGAATAACAGGTGGTTGCAAGCAGTAAAACCCCCTGAAAAAAGCCAGAAGCTTTTTTCAGGGGGTGTTTCTCTTTGCACAAACTGTTCAAAATGAAAAAAAAAAAAAAAAAAATGGAGGGAAATAAATTTTACAAACAGAATTTTAGTTACTATTTTCCTCTTTCTTAGAAGACAAGAATTCAACCTTTTATGCCGCATCTCGTTCGTTCAATCTTTAAAAGCCTTAGTTGTGAACAATGAAAACACACAATCATAAAATCTTTGAACAAAGTCCAGACAGGCCCACAAAATATTCCGGTGCGTACACTTCTCTGCAGAACACTCGGGTATCCAATGACTGAAGAAACTATGGAAGAGTGCCAGAAAATAGTAAAGCTTAGAATATGATTAAACATAAAAACTGCAATGCACACTGGGGCAATGAGCAAGTGAAGCATCACGCTCATTGTTCCTGCGCAGATCACATTTTTCAGAAATGATTGTGCTATGGTCATGCTTTGGGTTCTTTCCGTTTTTCGGTGTCGTTTTACGAGAAAGGGGCAGAGAAAAGTATCAGTTTCTATAATTTTGTGGGGTCTGAACATTTAGTGGAAGCCGCCGTCGGTTGATAGAAGCGAGAGGACACTTTTGGGGCTGACTTGACTTGGATGTTCCAGTGAATGTTCAGAAGCGCAACCCCTAGTAAGCGCTCCTGGGACGTCGAAGCTCTCAGGTATGACTTGAGTCTTTGCAGTCTCGAGAACGAACGTTCCGTTTTAGCAGTGCTGACGGGCATGGTAGCCAGGATTTGCAGCAGGCAGTTTACATTAGGATACAAGGCCTCCGGGCAAAGACAAGTTGCCTGTACCGCTGAGACGCGCTAAGTGATGAGGTCCTTACACATCTGTGTCCAAACCAGAACTTCCCCAGGCAGTTCATTTAATGAAACGAATGCTCTGCACAGGCTGGAGAATGGCTCGAAGTTGACGCCTGTGACATTGAGACCAATGTCGTTGGTCACAAGGTCACTCACTCCTAGGGAGGACGATGCTGCCAGACGTGAATGTGCCGTCTCTGTTGGAGACCTTGATGACACGCTTAGAAGTTGTAGGCCAATAATCATTTTTGAGAAAAGTGTCAAGCGATAGCTTGGCTATTGAACTCGTTACTTTCACGATTCATGTACTGAACCAAAGATTATAAACATTATTTAATGCAGCGATTAAAGAAGTCAACCAAGTACGCTTTAAAACCAAGTGTCAATGAGCATTCCAAATTTGCTTCCACGGTGCATATGCTGCCACTTTTTTCTCGCGCTTTTTTTTCTTTTTTTTTTTATTAAGGGGACGTTTTTGTGTTTTTATTTACATTTTGGTTGGTGTAGTATTTAAAATAAAGGAGTGCAGGCTAGTAAACTCTAAAAAAAGGGAAGATCCTGGACGAAAACAAGAAAAAAAAAAAACGCTAAGCTGTTTGTCATTTCGTCGTCCTGTTTTCATTGTAGGATTTGCTGCCCTGAAGTTGTCATTGATTCCCTGAGACTCTAAGGCTAGGGGGACTTTAGTCAAGCTGCCTGCATTCTCCGAGGCAAGGCCAGCGTCCTTCGAGGTCAGGATTTCACGGCTTTTGTGACGTCGGGAGCTGAGCCATTCGCACCTGCAAGCTTAAAGAAAAACTTCAGTTACACGGCCGAGTTTGGCGAGAGCTCTTTGGGGAGCCGAAGCGGGACTTGCATTTTTCACGCAGTCCACAGACAGTGTCGTCATCTTTGTTTTGCTTTGGAATGTGGGCCCGGCCCCTCGCCGTAGGGTTGTCTAGTAGAAAGAGAAAAACATTTTTTTTTTTTGCCTTGACAATACAACAAAAGACACACACACACACAACACAAAACACACACACATACACACACAAAGGAAACGAAAGGGGAGAGGGGGAAAGAGAAATGTTGAAATTTCGGAAGGTGTTTTGACACTTGAACAACCCCCCCCCCCCCCCCGGTTACGCCAGTGATTGCAAGGAGAGCAGATATGTTTCCAGCGTAAATGAGCTTGCCAGATTTGCCTATCGAGACACCGAGTAATATATTGTCTTCTTTGATTAGTGTGACAATTGAAAACAAATCTGACTGGTAAAATATCTCCATTAAAAAAGTTGGAGGCTGCAGCAATTTTTGGCATGCTGTAGCATAATTAAATAAATTTTGTAAGTTATTAGACCTTTAGTAGACCGTATTCTAGAGCTATGCTTTACTAGGGGGAGCTTGTGCCATCATATTGAAGCACGGATTGAGCATGCGACTGTTGGGCCCGCTCCACAGCGTACAATCTACTAAAAACTCTCTGCTGAATGTTAGGATATTGCATTATTTTCCTTCGAGGTACGTCTTTATCCTGCTCACACTTCACCGGCAGACCTTTAGAAACTAAAAAGTTTAAAGTGAAATAATCCTTGCATCTACAAATCGGGCAGAGCACCATTAACTTTAATTTTCTTAAGGTCTATCTATAGTCGGTGACAGGTTAAGAACCACACAGATGCTCTGCCTCCAAAACACGCTTGTTGCCTGTGCATCCAGCGAGGTGCTATCAAAGGCAGAATGCTTCTGCTTGAGGTGGAGCATCTAGTGCAGAGGTCGGCAACCTTTCGCAGTGGCGGGCCGAGTTGTCATGAAGCCAACACAGAGGGAGCCAGACGCCAAGTTGCGAAGGTGGGAGGGAGGGGGGCAGGAGAAGAAAAGGCAAGAAGGTAGTGAAGGCGTTCTGTGCCAAAGTTGGGGATGCCGGACAATCCCAACTGGAAGTGCTCCTTGTTCCTGTCTAACCCCATTTGTGGTCAAAACTGCCGTGTGGTCCTTGAGTCTGTGTGAAAAAGCAGCAGAAGCGATGCTTTTCTGGTGTCGGGGGGGGGGGGGGGGGCACATAAAACTGTCACGCGGGCCGCAGGTTGCCGACCCCTGGTCTAGTGTGTTCTGAACCAGTCACAGACTATAGCCCTTATTTCATGTTTTTTTTTATTTACCTTTCTCGTTGAAATTTTAGTATTCTGTCTGAGACAGCTATGTGGGACAGTCTACATTGTTCCGCTCATCGAACAATTCACCAAAATAATTGTATGCAGAATCAGCTGTCAAAAAAGTTGCATTATAGTTCACATCCAAAAAAGCATGTTTCCCATCTTAGGTAGAGCTTGAGGAACGAGGATCCTAAGAGTGCGGGTGAGGTATGCCGTGTAAAGCCTGGTTCGTTTGGCACGCAAACTAGAAATGCTGTTTGCAGACACGCTAAATATACTTTCCAGTTGAAAATTTCCATTAGATTTAAACTGGAATTTTCCATTTGTACCAGTTAGGTTTTTGGAGAACCAATTGGGTCACTGCCAATAAAACCCATTTGGAACCCATTTTCAGGTCCCAACTGGAAAAATTATTCCAATTGGTGAGACCCATTGGCCAGTGTGCTTCCAATTAGAACCCACTAAAACCAATTGGTTTCAAGTAAAAGCAGTTGGAATTCCAATTGGATCTAATGGCAATATTTAGCTTGTTTCATGTGTAGAAAAGGTGCCGAAAATGTTAAGGACGAGACAAGTTGGACAGAGCATCCTTTTCTGTTCGACTCTTTCTTGACTTTTTCGGAGTCTTTTTCTACACACAGAGATGGACCAGCAGACTACCTCCAAAAATCCCTGCACGCAACACTTTGCTTCGTGTTATGGGACCTATTGGGTCATGGAGAGGAATGGCATGGTTTCCGTTTTGATCACCCCGTTGACGAGGTAGTGTATTTCACACTGCGTGGAAATAAAGTTGGCACTGGCTTGCATTGCTCCCGTTCATTTTTGTGAAAGCCCCCATTGAAACTTGAACCTCCAGCGGCCATAAGGACTTGACCAGACGACCGGCCCGGTATACTTCTTCCATCTGCTATCGTGGTCCTGTGTCTACCTGTGCTCAGATCCTGACACGTGGAAAGCCAAAAAAGTGCACCAACATTCTATGCGTATTGGGAGACAACACCTATGCCATCTTAAATTTAAGGAAACTCTCATATTTGAAAATGTAAGTGCCACTATTTGATTTTGACGGGAGGTTGTGAAGTGGGGTTGGCAAATAGAAACAGACAGTGGCCAACAAGTTCTTAAGATGCTTTGCATGGCACTATGCCGCTAGGATTGCTTCAATTTTGCGAGAGGTCTGTTGGCCCAATTACCCACTGAGCTGCTAAATATGCCTCTTGTTTGTTTCTTTCGCTCGGTTGTCTCCAATTGGTGGCTAAAGAACAAGTCTGTGAAGTAGCAGTATTACTGAAAACAATTCTCGGGGACCAGGCCCCGAGAATTGTCTCGCTGTGTTTGTTGCTCACGAAATACACGGAGGTAGAGGGCCTGCGAAAATCTGACTCTATGTTAGATTCCACGTCTTCCTACATTTTTTTATGCGATTTCCATCTTCACATACATGCTGACCTTTAGATTCCTTTGTACGAAAATTACTAGCCATTTGTTTTGGTGTGCATTTCTTGCCGATTTTTATCTGGTTGTCTCGTTCTCGGCCCTGGTCGTGTCATTGTTTACCCTGTGCTCTCTTCCCCAGGCAAACTTGCCGGCAGGTACTACACCAATGAGGGCGAGCCAACCGAGGAGCTGCAGAGGGTGCTGGCAGCTGTGGAGAGGGCCAAGGAGAAGGAGTACCTGACCAAGGAGGCGAGCAAGGTGTTTCCACCATGCAACTCTGAGTGGACACAGGAGGGGGGCACCAAGGTCTGGTGTAGCACACAGAGGTGAGTTGCAGCTTTGTGTTTTTGCGCTCGCGATCAAACTGGTGTGCTTGTGGTTACCCTCGAGTAATGAAGATTTTCCCGTTTGCACCCGAAATTGCTTGGGATGTTGCAGCTCTGAGACGAATGTCACAGGTTACATATATAGGAGGATTTCGGCCTCGAGGTTCGTCATATAATGAGTTGGAGAAACCAGCACCCTTACTTAGCTAATTCACATTTTCATGAAACATGGATTTTAGTGGTGAATTTTATGTTGTGAGGTTCCAGGGCGTAGCTCTGTTCCTTCGAAAATTGAGAGCGTACTTGACGTTCCTGATTGACTGGCACGAACGCGTATGATTAGCTCGATCCGAGAGTTGCTGCAGAGTGATGGTGCGATGATGGATGATCGAAAGCGGCCGAGCGGCGCGTTTGCGGCAGGTATCAAGCCTAACCCGAATCTCATAAAAGTCTTGACATTATATATGGAGACTTTATAACTAGAGCTGGGATTTCCGAGACATGTCCCGATTTTGAAAAGTGTACTGATCCCAGTGTCAGCTACCAGTACACATCTATCGGGCGATTTCCATTTGGTTTTCATCACCTTTATTGTCCCGTGTTGTCCCGATTTTACGTCGAGTGTCCCGAAATATTCAATCATGTCCCGGCTTTTCGTTAAGTGTCCAGTTACTTAACTGAGACGCCCATATACAATGTGCTTTTCATCCATTGATAATATTTTAGCATCGGCGAGAAGCCAGCATGGCATTCTTCTGCCAATGGCTCCACTATACAAGCCTACCCTCATCCCCTGGACCTGTGGTAACCCGACGGGGCACATTTCTAAGAGCAGCAGTGTACTACACAGGAAACCACGGCAAGGTGGCAGACTTTGTGAAAGAACTAAAAGGGGCAACTGCTGCCGCGAAGCTGCTGCACGAAATTGTAAACGGCACCGCTCTAACCAGTAAGCTGTGCAGTATTGAGAGGTACAGATTTATTCCGAATGCGATTGCAAGGCTGGAAACCACGTAGCTCGATCTAGAAATGCAGTTTGGAATCTTGGATTCTGTGGCAAAAAAGTTTATGGCTCTGCGAAAGATGCTCTTCGTAAGTCGCTTGAGAAATATCCTGACATAAGGCGGGTACGTTCACCAAAAACTCTATATGGCGTTTATGACTTTGGAGCCCTCAGGTTTTTGAGTCTTGTCTCTGTGGAAGTGGAGCATTTGTTTTCCGAGTGCCACCCGCACAACCGTCCAATGCAGAGACCGGGATCTCAGCCCCTGCACGACATCCGTGGCAAACGACAACGCACGTGTCTTCCCCACCTTGCACAGGCCATGGTTACGCCGCACTCGAATCTGCACCAAACAGCAAACGCTCGCGAGAAAAGGGGGAAGGCTCCCCATGCGTTAGAGGGGTCTACTTTTTTTTTAGAGCGCAGCTCTTAGGGGCCCGTTTCCAGCCTAAGCGGCGTCGGCGTCGCCGTCGCCGTCGGCGTAATTGCGCCTCTCCCTCTCCTCCTCCTCCCCTCCTCCTCCTCCCCCTCCTTCTCCTCCTCCTACCCTCATTGTGTAGTATGGTCCCGGCGGGTCACGTGACCTCGGGGGAGGGGCACATGACCCGTTTCCAGCCTGTGCGGCGTCGGCGTCGGTGTCGCCCCTCCCCCTCCTCCTCCTCCCCCTCCGCTCCTCCTCCTCCCCCCTCCTCCCCCGCCCGGTAAAGGTGGTAAAGGAGAGGGAGGGGGAGCAGGAGGGGAGGAGGACTAGCAGGCATGATCACGAGGGAGGAGGAGGAATATACCCTCCACTCCTCCTCCTCAAGAGCTGCGCTCCAATTCGGCGTTACAGGAAGTTGTAAACGGCTTTCACTTTTTTTTTATAAAAACTGTAGGGGAAAACTGTAGGGGAGATTGTGGTCTTTGCTCACACAATCGTGGTGAAGTTAGCGACTTCTAGATGGCACAACAAGTCGGCGAAAGGCCACATTTCGCGTGCCGTCTGTATTCCGAAAATGGAGAAACAGATCGGGGTCCAGCACTCTTAAAGGGCAACTCCTGTTCATTTTCAATATTAAGAAAACAGTGCAGTTCTCTTTAGTATCGCCTAAACAGACCATGTGCTAAATGTTTCGATCTTATTCCGCCTAAAAGTCGACGAAACTGGCAAACAAAGATTGAGGCACGCGAAAGTACCAAAATCTGCTAATCCTGGCAGGCGAGGTGTAGTGTAGCCAACGGCACACTCAATACTGTTGTATAAAGCATCCTGCCACCTACTGGCTAGCCTTAGCTGCCAGCTGGTAAAAGACGACAAAATAAAAGCATGTTCTTCTACGTTACACTCTGGCCTATAGCAGTGTCTGCTTCTTTCTCTGCCAACCTGACATGGTGTGAGAAGTTGGACCACGGCCGTAAGTGAAGAGCCGCTATTAGCACTGACTTCTGAGGAATCCGGAGAAGCGATACTGCGCTGGAAGGAATGGCTAGCCGTGGTAGGCGCATTGTTCCTGTTACAGCCACCGGAACCACTTTTTTTCTCGTCTCCGAACAAATGGCCAAAATGGAAAAAGCGTTTTCAATGCTTTCACACTGCTTCTGGACTCTGCACAATGTCTGAAGAACATCAGATTGATGCTCTCCTCTATATTATGGGGGACCAAGCTGAGGACATCTTCTGCACTTTCCAACTGACTGAAGCAAAGGCCAAGAAGTTCAGCATCGTCATGAGCCACTTCGATGCATATTTTATACCACAAAGAAACATCATTTTTGAGCAAATTCGGTTCAACTCCCGTGTTTAAGAAGAAGGCGAGTCCATAGAAGAGTTTGCCACATCGCTGCATGCCCTTCCCAAGGATACTGCCATTACGGCCCAATGCAAGACCAATTCAAACGAGATCGGCTAGTCGTCGGCATCTGTGACAAAAAGCTTTCTGCGAAACTCCACCTCGATGCCGATTTTACTTTACGGAAGGCATTGGGGTCAGCGAGGCAAGTTCAAAACGTCAGTCAGCAGCAAGCCGAGCTGAACCAAGACTTTAAAGCTGGCAGCAGCGTCAACAAGCTTCACACAAGGAGAATTTCAACTAGCCACTCCTCTTGGTTCTAAACTGCCCAATCACAAGGCAGTTAGAACATAAAGGGCCTGCTTCGTCCAAAAAAGAACAGCCAATGCCACGAGAAAGAACGTCAATGGTGTGGGCGAACCCTCCATCCCAAAAAGTCCTGTCCGGCCCGACACGGTACTTGTAAGGGCTGCCATAAGAAAGAACATTTCTCCGCAGTCTGCCTTTCCAAGCGAGTCCGCTTCGTGGACCATCCAACAACGACGAATTTGAATTTATCGGCAGCGTGAAAATGGGAAATAACAGTGACGCTTCAAGGAGAACTCATGAAGTTGAAAACTGAACACAGGCGCCGATGAGACAGTCATCTTGCCCTCCACCTTCTGAAACCTTTCCCCATGGGCGGTACTGATCGCACCACTACGTCAGCTTCAAGGACCGGACGGAAACCTTTTCAGCAACGCAAGGGACAGCTCTTCTCAAAATCACGTACAAAGACCGCACTTCGGTCCAAGACATCTATATCTTGGAAGACGTCCGTACACCGTTGCTCGGTAAGCCTGCAATACAAGCTTTGCAATTGGTATCGGTGGTCAGCAAGATTGGTCCATGTCCACACATTCTTGGCAGCTCTTCAAGAGTCGACCCAAAAGCAGAGTTTCCTGCACTCTTCAAAGGGCTCGGCAAGCTCTCCAAAGCATGCCACGTGCAACTACAGAACGGCACAAAACCATGTGCACTGAGTTCTCCAGGTTGAGTGCCGATCCCGCTCTACCAAAAGACGAAAGCGGAGCTGCAGAGAATGGAAAAAATGGGAGTAATATCACTCGTCGGGGAACCAACTCCCTGGTTTGCACTGATGGTGTTCGTCCCAAAACCAAGCGGTGCAGTGAGAATATGCGTAGATTTCACCGAAGTCAATCGCTAAATGCTCTGAGAGTGGTGCCCTATCCCGTCGGTTGAGCATACCTTGGGACTCCTTCAGGGTGCAAGGTACTTTTCCAAGCTCGAAGCAAACTCCGGCTTTTCGCAGATACCACCAAGAGACAGCAAGCAGCTCACAACTTTCATATCATTATTTGGGCGTTTCTGCTTAACCCGGCTTCCTTTCGGAATCTCTACAGCGCCCGAGCATTTCCAGAAATACCGTAGCTCTCGAGCATCCTACAAGGAGCAAGTAGCGTCATCTGCCACATGGACAACATTCTCATTTGTGGCTCCACTTTCGAAGAGTGCAACACCAGACTCCGTGCCATCTTGCGACAATTTAAAGGTCAGTCCGATGCTCAACGAGGACAAATGCTCCTTCAGCGTCCAAGAACTCGCGTTCCTGGGCCGCAGGATTAACGAGCACGGTGTTCGTCCGGACGATACCAAGGTTGAAGCTGTCAAGGCTATGTCCCCACCTACATCTAGACCAAAGCTGCAAAGGGTGCTGGGAATGGCAACATACCTGGCTAGATTTGTTCCAGACCTAGCAACCATCCTTCAACCACTCAGCTCTGTGCTTAGTACATAGCAAGAGTTTGTTTGGGGACCAGCTCAAGAAGATGCGTTTGACAAGCGGAAGGCAATTTTGACGTCGCAACCGGTCCTCGGAGTCTACGAACCTGGAAATGAGACTGTAGTGACGGTGGATGCATCTTCTTACGGAGTCGGCTCCATTCTGAGACTAAAACAAGAAGGGAGCAAATACAGAGTCATCGCGTTCGCTTCAAGGCTGCTGAGCGACACTGAAAAATGTTATGTGCAAATTGAAAAAAAGGGTCTAGTACTTGTCTGGGCTTGTGAGAAGTTTAGTGATTACCTAGTTGGCAAGTTCTACCTCGAGACCGACCACTAGCCCCTGGTGCCTCTTTTCTCAAGCAAGGCAGTTTTGCAGTTTTGGGGTGAGCAACAACCTCACCCCAAAACTGCAACGGTTGCGCATGCGTATGATGAGGTACACT